TAGCCCCTACCCCATCTCAAGGTGTGCCATCTCTTATTTGTATTTAACTCTCCTCTAGATCTTGTTATCTGTTGACTTTGCTTTACTCTCTCCACAGATGTCTCTTCATAGACATTTCAATTTATTAATATGTCTTTTTCCTATTTGCTTATTGTCTTTCTCATCCCACCTGAGCTATCAGTCATCCTCAAGAGTCTGTATCTCTCGAGCTTGATTTGCAGTCTGGAGTAAAGCAAGTGCTTGCATAGTTTTGAGTGAGTGGCCATGTGACCAAGTGCATACTGTTTGACCTTATAGTAGTAAGGTGCTTGTTTGCAAGAATGACACATTCTTCTAGTAACCTGAATCCGAACCTACGCTTGATTCTTTTCTTTGCTGAGAAAATAAATTCCCATTATACTTTGTTCCACCTGTGCTTCTAACTTTCAGCACTTGAAGCTTCAAAGATTTCCCAGGTTATTCTGTGGTCTGGAAGGAAGTCTCCCAGGCCGTTGTTAATATTGCTGATGTGCTCCCTGGCCAAGTTCGGGGTATCAACTTTAATCTTTCTAACATAATCAAATTTCTCTCTGTACAACAACTGTCCAATGGAATACACTCATCTTGTCCTGATCAAACCCAAACAAAATTAAAAAGAACTGTATTAGCCACTCTGATAGTCGCACAGTTTTCAGTCGTGCCAGACTCTATACCTGCTGTTAGCTTTCATACTTGCATCTCCCCTGAATGCGACATGTGCTTTATGGCACTAAATCCACAAGGCTGTCTCCCTTTTTGTGAAACTTTCTTTACCAGTTTATGAATTTAGACTTTCTCAGCATTACATGTTGCATTACAATGCTTTAATTTTTGTCTTTATTAATGATTACTATCTAATAATCTAATTTCATATATAATCCAATTGCTATCTCTGTCTGTCTGCATCTGTCTGTCCCCTTTATCTCCCTCTCTTCCCTCCCTCTCTCTCTCTGTCTCTCTCTCTCTCTCTCTCCACCAACACCCCCAACACAGTTTCTCTGAAACTGCTGGAATTGTAAGCATGCACCCTTTAACTAGTATGTAATGCATAGTTCTTTTGGTGTAGTTGGCCTGCTATAAATATGCCATTAATTTGGAAGCTTAAAAATACAGAAAAAGTGTTTCTTATGGTTATGGAGACTGAGAAGTCCAATATTGGTGTCTGAGGAGGTTCCTATTGCTCACAGATTATACTTTCGGGTTGCATTTTCACAAAGTGGAAGGGGAGAGCTAGCTCTCTAAGTTCTCTGCTGTAAGGGAACTACTGAAAATCATGAGGACTCCACCTCCATGACCTCATCCTACCCAAAGGCCCAGTTTCTAAATACCATCACTCTGGGGATTAGGATTTCAACATGAAATTTAGATAACACAGACATTCAATATATAGCAAAAGTGAACATAAAACTGACGACCATATATTGTCTAACATATAGTAAGTACCCAATAAGCTAATAGTGGTTTCCAGATTAAAACTTAAGCAATTGCTTAGCAGCTGTTTGGAACACAGCCCTCTTCCAATGTGGAAAACCCCTCCACCTCTCATCTTATACACAGGGAGTCTACCTCTCAGCCTCAGCCAACTTTTCCTCTCTTTTTCTATTCTCTTTAATATCCAACTCATAACATGCATTCGGAGGACCTAGGAACTTTTGTTTTTCTCCCTACATGTAAATATTACCCAATCCATACAGCACCATGACCCGCATCAGTTCCATCAGTTTGCTTGTTGTGGTTAAAGTGGAGTGGGGAATTTTTCTGGACCATATGTCTGTATTAGAGTTGGGTTGCTGGAACATATTGCATGCATGCAATTTTGTTTTCCTAATTTTTGCCAGATTACTTCTCAGAATGGCTTCAAATTACAATCATAACAGCAATGAATGAGATTTCCTTTGCCATGGATTCTTATCCAGATATTTACCATTTCAATGAGAGCTGATTTAACTTGTTTTATGGTGATTACTATAGAGTTTGTTCATCTCTTCATCCACTGGTTGGATATTTGGGCATTCCTTTTCATGAATTATTTATTTAAATCATTTGCTTTTTTCCGGTTAGCCTTCCTATGACTTTTCTATCGCTTTGTATAAATCCTTTATAAATATAGATATTTGCTACAGGGCTTACTTTTCTATAATCTTTGTCTATATCTTTATACATTTAAAGGCTGTTTTTAATTGCCATATCATTAAATTCATATACTTTTGCTCTTTTCTTTTGTAATATAAAGGCACTACTTAAGAAGCTTCCATTTTGCAATTTTTTTTTCTTATTTTCTTGTATCAGCATAGTTTTATCCTCAAACGCAAGTGTGAAACCACAGGTTCATCTTTGCATGTGGCCTTAAGTAGGGGTCCAAGTCTATTTTCTCCCTTAGTGAGTGAATCTTGCCTGCATTATCCCTAGAAAAATTTGTTTCTTTGTATTTACCATTATACCATCTTTGTCAGATATTAAATTATCAAATAAATATAGTCTTTTCCAGAACTCATCTTGGGTCAGCATTAAACGTGTAACACTACAATTATGGAATATGTCAGGATCTAACAGGCAAGTCAGAAGTCTTTGTTCTTCTATTTCAAAGGAAACCTAGTATTCTTGGGTATTGGTTCCTCTACAGAAATTCCAGAAGAAGCTTTCTTTATTCTTCAAATATCCAGTTGCAATTATAATTAAGATTTTCTTGAAAAAAAATTGTAGATTATTTTGAGAAGAGGTATGTATATGCACTGTCATATATATAAACATAGTATATTTTTGTTTGTCCCTAGTTTATTTTAATTTCTTTGATATCGATTTAGTATTTAGAAAATGCCCTGATTTAACTATAATTGGCAGGAAAAATTTTATCTGCTTAATCCATCATTTCCATCAATAAAGAGGTGAAAAGTAACATGAGAAGGGAGTGTTGGTATTATTTACTTAGAGTTGTGTTGCAGGACAGGTGTCTAGGAGACACCATAGTAAGTTAGTGTAGAGTCTCTGAGGGTTTGATTCCTGGCTCTACTCTTTACTAATGTGGGCAACAAATTAATCTCATTTTTTTAATGTGCAGAAAAAGTATTATAATATTGACTAGCTCACACTTTTATTAAATTAAAAGACAGAGTGAACATAAAGTGGTTGGTAGGGTGCTGAGCTTAGAGCAAGCTTTCATTGAATACTGGAGTCTACAAAGAGTGAACATATCCAACCATAGGTGTCGAAACACCAACCTGGAGCCTTCATCATGGTAACAGTGACCCTTTTTCGGGACCAAACCCAGGTGTATCATCACCTATGGGGCTCAATTCCTACCCCACAGAAAGAAAATATGTTTTTGTCTCTGTTGAATGTCTAGTAGGACCTACTAAAAAAAATGCCTAATTTATATTCCTTGTCATAATATTTCTGAGTCTGGATAAAATTTACAAAGGCCTAAATTGGTAAGAAGCACTAATTTTTTTTAATGTTTCTTCTTATTTCCCAGCCCATGCTAATGCAAATATCAATAATTCTTCATGACTTTCAAAACATTTACATTTACTTTATTCTCTGAGAAAGATTTTGTTTTCAATTTGAATGTCTCATTTTATGGATAAATCAACTGAATTTCAGAGAACTTATGTAACTTAGCCAAAGTTAAGTGAATAACTATGGAAAGATTTAGTCTTAAATTTTGATTTCTCCACTCTTCCCATTGTGTTGGGTTTTTTCGTTTTTTTTTTTTTTTTTTTTTTTTTTTT